AGCATAGTTATGTGAACTGAGGTTCATACAAAATGGTTGTATGCAAACTATTTGCCAAAAAGTGTTAGCATGATTTACAAACACAATTTTACAATTACCTTCTTAGCTTTTTTAATATTCCCCTTTTTATTCCACAGATCACTTGTTCCTCTCCAAGTCATCCAGCAAACTCATTTTATTATCCCAAACTCAAAAATTTGCCACCAATTGCTCAAGTAACAATGGTGAAATTAAAGAAAAGCCAGCTAGGTCTTTCTGCACCTTTTATTAATCTTCCAGCTAAAAGCAATGAAGTAATAGACACTGTCTCAGGTAAGTGATTAGTAGATGTTCTCAACTCTGTTATTTCCATTCACTCAAAAGTATGTGGAGTGTGGATGAGACAGGTGGTCAGGCAGAATATTCTCCTATCTGCATAGGAATAATTTCAGAATCACAAATGGGAAATAAAACAAGCCAGTCAACATAAAAGAATTCCTGAAAGAATAAGTAAGGGATTGCATATTTCAGCTGTGGTTCAAAGGACTGGGCTATATCCAGAGTAAGAGCTACCCAAGCCTTTGTATCAGTGTAGCTCAGTGAATTTTATAAGAAACAAATGACACTCAATCAGAATCAGCATTCCCAAACTCTTTGCAACTTTGAAGTAAATGTTGATCCTTAAGGTTTTACATGACAATGAAGCCAAGAACCATTATTGCTGTCTCTTCTAGGTCACAGCCTGGCAGTTATGTGCAATAAAATTTATACAATTTGATTGATTTTGACATATTTTCAATAGAAACATAAATCCTGATAACAAAAATGAAGTTCTCTCTCATTTTAATTTTCTAAAAAATATTAGCTAATAATCTTGAATAGGTAGGGAGACATGCAAACTACTGACTCAAGTCAATCATAAGGGTGATTTTAAAAGCTCTGAATTAAAATGCATAGATTATTAACACAATATTTGCTCCAAGGGAGCAATGTATTCCCAAAAGAGTTTCCATGTTCCAGGATCTTCTCCAGAATGTCTGGAGGTGGCACGTCTCTAGCACTGGGCTGGTCACCTTACAACCACTAAAATACAGCTCATTCTCTGCCAGTTAATGTGTTATTTATAATTTAATAAATGTACTTATCAATTTATAGTGGTTTAATGTATTTCTATTAGTAAACAAGACATATCCAATGTGAGAGTTACACATCTCATTTACAGTTATATGTCCTTCCCTTAAGATTTGAAAGGAACATTTGGCATTGTTCATTATATAAATTTAAAACTGCATTTAAAGTATAGTATTTAAAAAATAATTTTTAATAACAAATCCCCACTTTCTTGTACATGAACCTGTAAATCACATAAGTTTAAAAACTTATTCTGGAATCAAAAGGGCAGATTTAATTACCAGAGGTCAAGCAGTGTCCCTCATTGCCTCTAGAAACACAGGAACGAGTGATGACAGCAGAAGTGGTGAGTTCACTGTAATACCAGAAATTTATACCAGGTGGCACACATTTAGTGTGGCATTTAAAGATGGCCTTGTGCTCACCTCTTTTACCCACAAATGTTGTAACAGGCAGTTTTGATGCCACTTCCTGTGACAAACAGTATTTTAGTTTAACCTGCTAAGGAATATTCACCTACTTTTTATGATTTCTATGTTAGAGAGAAGCATACATTATGGACAGTACTTCAGAGTTTCTTTTCTTGCACCGAAGGAAAACTACATTGAAAATCCTTTCAGCATTAGAAAGCTTCTAGTGACAGAATATCCATATTGGCAAAGGGAAGAGTAGTGTACATACCAAAAAATAGCAAGATGATTTAATAATAAAAAATGGGAAATTTATTTCTGAAGCAAATTGGAGCAAAAGAAAAATAGAATTCAATACAAACAACTCTAGGAACAATAGCTCCCTGCAAAGAAATATAAATATACCTAAATAAACCAGAGAAAAGCTTTAATCTCAGTGTTTTAGCCATGCAAAGGAAAATGAAATTACAAAAATTGACAGTAAAGGTTTTTTAATTCAATATTTTGAATACAATAATTTTAAGCTTAGTTTTCTTTTAAGGAATTCTGTATTTTCATTCAAAAACATAATATGCTTCAGTACTGATACAATACGTCACACAGGCTCTAGACTGCAATAACAATAATACCAATAAGTTTAGGAGTTGAAACCAGATTTTGTTTTTTTTTAATTTATGAGACAACATACCGATTCAATTGATATCACATGTATTTTGTGTAAGAAAGGATGCTGTTTGATGATCATTCCTCGATGCTTTTCCAGCTGTGTATTTGACTTAATTATAACTTGATGTAAAGTCACCTCTTTGCTGTGTGTGTTGCAGAAACACCCCTGGACTGTGAGGTTTCCCAATGGTCTTCCTGGGGGCTCTGCAGAGGGGTTTGCAGAGAAACAGGGACCAAGATCAGAACTCGTTTTGTACTTCTTCAGCCGGCCAATAATGGAATGCCTTGTCCAAACCTGGATGAAGAAACAGGATGTGAACCAGAAAATTGTATCTGAAATAAAGGAAAGATAATAATTAAGATAATTTAAAAGTAGGATAAGTTTAAATCTAAACTACACGTCAATCAATGTTCTTTATAATTTGGATACGCTGCATGCTTTTGCTGAAAAGCTGCATTAGAGTGGTTTGGGAAGTTTTTATTTAATATCAAGATTTTGGGGGGTTAAATTTCTAAGATTTAGTAGGACAACAGTACTGGATAATTTACAGACTAAAAACCCCCAAATAAATCCTTCCTCCAAATACACTGTAAGTTCTTGGAGTACCCTCTAGTGGCAGAAAAGAAGACATTTGGAAAGATTGTACGTCACATTTTTACTTCACAGTAAAAATCTTTCAAGCGCAAAATCTAAACTAATAACCTCCTTAAATATTGTAATTTGTTTATCTATACCTATTTATACCTAGAAAATAGTTTTTTCCCTCTAAATTATGTTTTTATAATTTATTGGCATTTTTGTTTTCTTTCTAACCTTGCTTAATGTGCATTTCTTCAGAAACTACTTACAAAGGTCAGAGTGACCAAATGTTTGCAGTGTGGTTAAGACAATAATGGAAGTGAGTGAACTTGTCTTGAGACTTTTGAATATATGAAAATGTCTTTTTCTTTCTCAAAAGTGAGAAAAATAAGTGCCATGAGGACACTTAGCCAACAAAATCACTAGAAAAAAAAAATCTGAAGTGATGTAGAAAACATCTGAGCTGAATTAAAAATGTTAGCTGAGATTCAAAAATGGATTGTTGGTGTGTGTCCCTCATGAGACACCTTTAATCTCAAAGTTAAAACTGTTGACCATAACATAAATTATATCATTAACCTTATATATGCAGTAAATGTGTCCATATTTCTTTATATGTGTTTGCTGCTATTTGTGTATATATTACCTAAAATTAAGGCATGCATGACTCTAACAAAACACATATCAGAAACTGTTCCTGACTTCAAGTTTTAATGCTCAAATAACTTATAAATTGAATGTAATATATGGTTTGTGAGAAACTGTGGCTACCAACTAGGAAAACAACTTTGGAATAATACTTATTCAACAGAAAAAGTTTAAAGTCAGCTCACAAAACTTTTACAGTGCACTGTAATTTTACAAATATACAGCACAGGTATTGAACAGGTTCTTTCTGGACTATGCCAAATCCAAGACAATTTCTCTTGTCCTTAAAGGTGCACACTGTATTCTTCATAGGGCTGAAACATTTAAACATTTCTCTGTATTTTTTTTTTTCCAGGAGAGATATCTTGCAAAGACACAAATAAATGTGAAACTTTATCAGACTAGAATTCACTGATTCAGCAAATGCTGATAAACACACAGTTGTTAGAACTAAGTGTAGGAATTTCTGCTCTTCTCTCATTCTTCAGATTCCCACTGTTGTTTGTTGTTCAAAATTGTCCCACTTACTCCTATTATGATCCCTAGTTTTTAAAGCTCCCCCTATTTCCACTCTATAATGGGAGTTACTACGGTATTCTGTGTTTAGTTCATTGTCAGTATTTTTACTTCTTATTTTTATATTAGTTTTAACCATTCTTTATTTTCTGTTACACTTATTTACTACCTATTTATACATTTATCATAATACCAGAAAACATAAGCATATATTGTAGTATATATTTAAATATTCTCAGAAGGAGCTAATTTCAAATTGATTTGTCAAGAGACAAATTAAGCTAAATAAAGTTTTGGGGCAGATATCAGATTCAATTCTAAATTATAAAACAAACTCAAAACCCACAAGGTATCCTTTGAGGTACTTTCCTGGAAGTTCTCTAAACACTTCAGTTTTTCTTCTTCACATGCCCAGAATAAATAAAGGCCCAGGCCCAGTAAAAGAATACCTGCATTTTCAATACCTGCATAATGCAACAACCTGCATTTGCATTAACATGACCTGAAACTGGGATTTCAATCCTACAAGATTTAATTTGAGTGGAGGAGTCCCAGTGTTTGCTCAAACTCCTGGAGACAAAAGTTTTCCAAAGGATATTGAAAGAGATAGGATGAGATGAGGACATGGAGTAGAAAGAGCAGAAACCAACACACCTCAGAAAATTCCAGTCAGTGATACGTAATTTTACTATCTTAGGGTGTTTACATACATGAATATTCACTGTATCTTCCTTCAAAAACAGGAGTTTCCTATCCAGCCAGTTACCTGGATATGGGGTTTTTTGTAAGATGTAAATTCAGCAGACCTTGGTAATTATATATTCTTTAAGGATGCCCCTGTGCCTGTGTATTGCTTGGCCAGAAATATAATTCCAGGTATTCCCATTGAAACCACAGGGATGGAGCCATTACTTGGCAAGACTGTGGATACAGTGAATGAAATGCATTCTACTGATGGAGTGCATTTCTCATTGTATTTATCTATTAAGCTGATTAGTGAAGTGCATTAACCTTGCACAGATATTGCTAGGACTTTGTAACTTCAGCAGCCTTGGAATTCCATTCCAGGAAGAAACACAGAGAAGCTCTTCCATCCTTTTCCCTTGTATCTCGTTTTACAGACGGTTGGCAGCCAAGATGCCAAGGTTCTAAATGCACGAGATTTAGGGAAGGAAATAGGCAAATTAATTCCTGGGTTAAGCTAATCTCAGAAAGCACTTTGGAAAGAAGCTTGAAATGGATTTGTAAAGACAATTCTTTTACAGAATATCTTATAGAAGGAATCAGTTTTGATGCCTTGGCAGATGTTCTTGCAGAAGGAAAGATGCAGTTAATGTTAAAGTGGAGCAACAAAAAAGTCACCACAGAATTAAACTGTGGTCCTACAAAAATAATCCACATGAAATTAAATTCTTATAATGGAATAAGTGTGGAAAAAAAAAAAAAAAAATCTGAGAGTATATGAGGCTATTCAAGGCAAAAAGCTTCATTTCATTATATTCCCAGTCCCAGGTAATTGAAGTACATTGGGAATAATTGATCATGAATGATCCAACATAATAAAGTAACTCAGACTATTCCATGACAACACTCTCAAGAAATAAATCTAAAAATCAGTACAGCAATTCTGATATCAGCCAGTTGTTGTTCAATGGGATTCTTGCAGTATGCAGAAGTTGTATCCATGACAATTTTCGGAACACTGAATGCCTGAGACGAAAGCTCTTGTTATGCTTCACACCTGATTACTTGGAGACTGAATTATTTTTGTTTGCTTGAATCCAGCAGTCCTAATATGCCAGTATTTACTAGCCAAATGTACAGAAGAAATGTGTCTGTTCCAATGGGTCTGGGCAGAGTGAAGGATAAACTGGTGTCACCTTGTATATCTTGTGTTCTACCACTGGAACCCAGAACTTTGGAAGCCACAAGTACTCAACAACAAGCTTAAAAAGACGATAGGTCAAGTAGCTCACAACCTGCAGGCAAACCTGTATTTCCTGCAGGTATGAGTATGGCATGAGAATTTATGCAGGTGCATGACAGTCAACATCTCCTGTGGTAGAGGGGCAAAAGTCCAGTGTTATGATGAGGTCCTGTATAATCAAAAATCATTTTTGATGGATAAGTGCTGAAGTAGTAAAGGAGTCCTAAAATCCCTCTTGACATTCCTAAAGATACAACAGCCATGAGATGTAATTTTTATCCCTCTATCCTTATCCATATGGAGTCAAAGAACTAATGTGTAAGGAATCCGTTCTCTTTGTCTGACAACCTTTCAATATGGGGATGCTGATGGGTGATTTTTGGAGGTGAACTAATACTTGTGCTACAAGAATTAGTTGTACTACAAGTATTAGCTGGGAGTGAACCCAGAATGGTCCAAAGCCTGTGCCAGTGTAACACAGACATTCCTTTATTGAGACAACTTCATAGATGGCAGGTGAAGTGAAGGGCAATAAACACGGATCAGTTCTCCTTCTGCAGATGTGAAATCCAGTAGGAGTTATAATCTCAAAATTTTTATTTAGGTTACAGATATTGAAGATGAAGGGCTATTCACCCTTCTTCCTTGATACAAGAAAAATATGTGCTCTTGTGTAATTGGGATAACATAAATTTTATGAGGACAGATGGGTCCTCCCAACTGGAAATGATCCCACAGGTGGGTTCTCCCTGCTGGAAAATGACCATTCAGGCCCACCTTTCAGACAGAGTGATGTCCATTTACAAGGAACACTTGAGTGATAAATGAGTTTGTCATCAGACATACACATTGGTCTATATTGGTACAAAGAATAAAAATAAGGACCTCAATCACTGTTTGATTTGCACTACAACTTTCTTCAAAGAAAGCATTAGGAAGTATCTAAGAAATAGTCATTCCTATATAAAAAAATCTTATTCTGAAAGTGTTAATGTTGTTATTTTTCCCCGCAATATCATATTAACTAATGTTATTTGATTATTTAATGGATTATTTGATTATTCAAGTTCCTTTGACTTCTTTATAGTTCTTCTATGTAATGTCTGTGGGTTTAAATCAGGTGCCTATGTTTGTACAGTGATTTAGGATGGAAATTAAAAGCTTCCTTAATAAAAGAGAGGTGAAGCTCTGGAATAATCACACAGAATTAATGGGAAATAATAAATTCATTTAAGTTGAAAATTGAGAAGTTTATTGAAAGAGGTAGCCAGTGTAGTTGCCTACAGGGATCTAGGGAACTGATCTCAAGCACCTGAGAGGCCCTTTCAGTTTCATGCTGCTCTAAATTATAAAATAAATTTTAATCTAGATTCTGGGAAAGAAGAAAGAATTTAAAAGGTGTCTTTTCCATGTTATCTCATTCCCCAGAACATGCTGTAGTTATTTATAAATGTATAACCAGCAGCTGCTTTTTCTCACAGTTTTTTTCCTCTCTCAAAAATACTCTGATAAGCAGCAAACAAGGAACAACCACAGGACTACAGGTATTTGTATGTAACTATCTTCAAAAGCAGTACAGCAGGGATATATAAAAAAACATGAAAAGCAAATTAATAGGATTTCTTATGAACTTTTGGATTTCTTTTTCACTCGCTTTGTATTTTCACGCTGGAGAAAGAGAAGAGAAATGCATAATTGAAGATATTCCCAGCGATACCTTGGTAGTTGGTGGGTACCTGTCAATGCTTTATGATGATCTAACCCATGCAGTAACAAAGGTAACTGGAAATGTAAGGCAATTTCTGTGATTGATGAATATGGTAAAAAACCAGAAAAGGGCATTTTGAAAATAACTCTCTGCAGCAGGGATTAGGTTTAAAGACCTCAAACATTGTGTGTATCCATCACACAAAGAAATGCAGGTTTTCAGAGTGCTTTACTGACTAAACAGAGAAAAAGAATGTGTTTTTTTTAATTCCACAGCTGTTGAACTGCTGCTTCCATGTGTGCTTCTGCACATTCTGACTAATGTACTCGTTCATATCAGAATTTCTGTAACATGGTTTTCTCCATATGACTGGGAAAGTTACTTTTTTGATAAGTGCTGGTCTGAAAAGAGACAATTCATGGTGTACTAAAGTTTAATTTCACCTCTGATATGAGAAGCACATTAAATTAATCTACGAGACTGTAAATGTAAGATTTCAAGGGGATAGTAAAAAATAATACAATTTAATATCTTTTTTTTTTTTTTTTAATAATATGATAAGTGTGAAAGACAATCCATAAAATGTAATTTGAGTATAGCACATTATGCTTTTGGAGGTCTCAGTGTGCCTTCTAGAGGCTAATCTTCCCAGTGTATTAGGAGTTATTAGAAAGTTTTTCTTGTTAATTAACTCTTTTCTGTAGTACTTTGGAACATTTTCTAGTGTAGTAAAAATTTATTGCATTTCAATCTGTTATGAAGTACCCTGAACAATATTAATCATAAACACATTAAATACATATATATTTCTATTTTTCCTGAAAAAGCATTGAAGATGTTTAACATTAAACTATGTTTTATTTAATTTATCTATGTTTTCATTCAGGGAAGTACAAAGTACAACGCTGGGATATACATACGCATGGCTTTCTTGAATCTGCTACTGGTTTGGGAATGTTTGTGACTGTCACAAGCCCTACTAGTGAGGTAAAAATGCTTTATGAATGTTTCTCTATGATTTTTGACTTGACTTCTGGCACTGGCAGGCAACACTATCTAAAAAAAGAAAAGAAGAAGAAGTAATTTCTGAAGAAGAAGTAAATCTACAGTCTATCAGCTAGTTCAGCATTTTGATGCTAAAAGATAAAAGTAAAAAAAATGATGGTATTTGATAATTATGTGTATAGACAGTTTTTGCATTACTACCAGATTTGGGAAATAGTGTCAAGAAGAAGAATTAGTGACAACTGAGAAAACAAGTTAAATGAAAAATAAACCCCCAAAACTCACCAATGAAGTGAAATGGTACAGAATCTACTTGAGCAGCAGAAAGGAGTGCTGATGATGAATATAACCCAAAGTCAAGGGCAGCAAAGCTGCTCGAAGCCCTCACGCAGAGCAGCTGCCTGAGCTGCCATGAGGTCTGAGCTTTGCCAGCAGTGGACAACTCATTTCCCTGCCTAGGCAATGCTTCAGTTTTCAGACTTTGAATGCTTTAGAGAGCATTGGCTTTTGTACATTGCAAAATTCTGTAATGTTTTCATGTTCACTGTGAGCTAAAATTGTTTCTTTTTCTCTAAATGTGTTCTGGAATTTGGAGAAATTTAATGATGGCAGCAGCTTAACTGATTCTTTTTCGCATCCAATTCACAGTACAGTTTTTTTATTTTTTTATTGAAAGTTACAAATTACAAAACCAATGCATATATCTAAATTGCAGGTACTGTTGTCAAAACTGTATGGGCCACAAGGGACCTTTACTTTTACATCCTACATCTCTGGAGAGCATATAATCTGTTTCCAGTCTAACTCCACAAGATTTGCAGTGATTGCAGGCAGTAAACTGGTAGGTGTATTTCCTAAATAGTCTTTGTTGTAACAGTATAAATCATTACCAATAGCAGAGATTTCAAACTGGATTAGAAGCTGGTCTAACTTCTAGCAGATGATTCAATGTTTTTTAGCGATTAAAGAAAGCAAACAGAATTATGCAGATAAAAAGACAAAAAGACTGTTCTCATATTTGAAAAGTCAGCATTCAAGAGGCAGGACTAAGGATAGAGGGATTTAAAGTTTGTTCTTTGAATCAGAGTGAAAGACTCTGATCAATAAGAACAGCTAATTTGGATCAAAAAGACAAATACGCAAGACTGACTAACACAAGCACTTGACATAATTCCATGTATTCATTAACTTAGATTTGATTGCCAACATTTTGTTGGCAATAAATGTAACATTTAAGTTTTTGAAAGATATTCAAATGAAGAATATGTCAGCATACTTGTTATTGTCTACTCCCAGCAAAGTTGGTTTTAATGCAGATTTTGTTGGGGGGTAAAAAGCCATCAGAGATGATAGCATGGCTCTACTGATTGCAACAAAAAATTTGTAATTACTGTTTTGAAATTTTATCTATTTGTTGCTTCCCAAAACCAGGAGAGAATTACTCTCTAGAGTGGTTTGGGGCTTTTTCTCTTCAGCTGACAGCAAAAGCATAAAATAACCAGCTAAATATATACATCTTCTAAATGAGTTAAGGTAAGCTAAATCTCATCCTAGCTGTGCACTTCAGAAACATGTAGATAACACAGAAATAACAATACTGGAGTAAGATTATTACACTGGAATAACAAGGTGTTCTTACAGGCTGATTGATAGAAATTAATGGAAATTTAATCATATACATGGCAAAAGTAATTAGGTCTAATCATAAAAAAAATGTGGAGCTTATCAACTAGAGAGAGTAAGGGGGATAAAGCTTGTGTTGGACACAGTTAACTATGCACCATTAATGTCATTCTGAGGATGTGCAGGTGATTTTTATCTGGTATAGATGGGGGTATAGCAACATTATTTTACATGATACAGGCACAATGTGGAGTTCTGACCATCCTATAAAAAAGAACCCAAGAGATGCAGAGAAGGAGAACATTAATATCACAAATATTATATAATGCTGTTTGTCTGAGAACACAGAAATAAAAAAGGAAAATATTGTCCTTTTTAAGTATATCTGGAGGAATAAAAATCACAAAAGGAAAAACATCCTTTAGTGAAGACAAATCTTTAACTGTTCTTTGTAAGAACCGTATGCTTATCTGAACTCTTTCAAACAAAATAAATAATGGACCACAAGGTTGTGAGATGGATTTCTACCTACACAGGTAACTTCAAGACAACTGAAAGAAAATATATTCTTCATTTGTGGCTGATCTCTGAGCAGACCTAACTTCTACTATGGCAATATCAATTTCTAGGGTTTTGAAGATTATTTTTTTGGCTAAAATATTTTTATTTTCTCTTAGGTACTAATTGGCTTCTAGGAGCAGTTTCTCCTACTAGTTTTAGTAGACTTTTTCATGCATGCCAAAATAAATTGAGTAACATTGCAAGTTCCATTCTTCTCTCTTCTTTCTATGGTTCTATTGCTTAGCTGTCTTGAGGCATTTTTGCTATAGATCATAAAAAAGCCTGGAGGATATTGGGACATCTTCCAACTTGGATAAGTAATGTGAAGAAAACAGTTATGTGAGGGAACCTAGAAGTGCATTTGTAAAAAGCCTCCAACAGTACTATTAAAGATAGTAATTTCTGCAGTATCAGGATGAAATGTGAATTCTAATGAGCAGTACATTTTTTTTTTTTTCACTATTTTGGACAAAGGCAACATTTTAATGGTAATTGAATCAATACTAGCATAAAATAATGTCCTAACATTAGTGAAGATTTTAAATTTGTAAAACTAATTTTAAAATAAAATTAAGAAACCCTTCAAATTTTCCACCTGATTCAAAATTTAGGAGGAATTTTTATAAGCAATTGATCTTAAGGGGAAATTATCCATTGTTTTATTTTTATTCTAAGGAACTTTGAAAAAGGAGAAGATACAGTAATGAGAACATTCTTTTTCCTTTTGTAGCGTATCCACTTGGACATCAGAGTTGGAGAACATTTTTTGGATGAATCTGCTATTCAAGCCAAAGACAAAGTGAATGAAGTTAATATCAGACTAGAGCATCTAATTGAGCAAATTCATCATGTAACCAGAGAACAAGATTATGAAAGAGTATGTATGTCCCAAAATGTAAATGTTAAAAATATTGTACATAGGCTTATTGATTTATAAAGTATTATGAGGTTTGTTATCCAATTGCAGTGGTGCTTTTAACTAACTCATTAAAAAAATCAATAGATATTTAACCAAAATAGTCTCCATTACCTTGCAAAATATTTTTAAGTGATTACATAAAACTAATTAATCACCATGTACTCATGCTTGCAGTAATAGGTGTTATTTTAAAGTAGCATTTTCCAACTTTCCAGAGTTTTCTTTGTCAGACTCAGCCCAGCAGGTAGGAGGTACCATTGTGTGTGATGCTGTTGTTTCCACATTGCCCTGACTGCACAACTCTATTGAGTGGGGAAGGAAATGACTGAGTGTCTATTTATATATCACCATGAAGTGTATATTTATATATCCCTTCTTCAAACAAGTGTACACCCAGTCACCTTTCTATATGCACATAGACCGTGTTTGAAATGTATCAACTAGTAACCTAAAAGCAGCAATATGGCTGTGAAAGGGCTCTTGACAACAACATAGAAGTGACTGTAAACCTAAACAGGTTAAAATCTGTACTGATGGAACATGTTTGGCACAATATATCTTCTGTGAAGTTCTGGGAAGGGCAAGCTCAGTTTACCTTGCTGCTTCAGGATGCAGCGTGCCTTCTTCTCAGTTTTGATTTGTGAAGATATCCACCATACAGATAAGTACAAACCTTCCTTTTTATCCACATGGAAAAATGTTTTTTGTTCACCATTATGCAGAAGAAGGATGCCTTTCTATTTACCATGAAACATACAGATGCCAAAAGGTAATAATTTTGCTTTTCCTTTATTCTCTAGGAGCGTGAAGAAAAATTTCGGAAAACAAGCGAAGAAACCAACAGCAATATTTTGTGGTGGGCTATAGTACAAACACTAATCCTTGTCTCTGTTGGAATTTGGCAAATCAAATCTCTCAGAGATTTCTTTATATCTAAGAAGCTTGTTTAAGTTCCATAAAATCAATGCACAGATTAAAAAATTGCACACCATGTAACACTGAACATCTAAAGAAACCCTGCACCTATGAGAATATTGCTTGTATAGAAATCTCAACCTTCTCTCATTTTCTGTTCTAACTCTGGTTTCTCCAGCTAGGTCACAACCTCTAGCATCCCCTCACATTTTGCTCTTTGAATTCCATATTTTACTATTTTTCCCCCATCTACAGATGTAAAGCTAAATATAGAAGAGTCAGTGACTAAGGCAGCATTTAAGTTCAGAACTTAATGAACATTTATTAGGTTAAATCTAAAATACAAATCTAAACTAAAGTTTCTTAAGATTTTAAATTACTCTGCTTGCTGAGTAATCTTATTTGGCACTACCATGAACAGTTCAGCACTTCAGACTGACTAGGATTCAGATAGTAAACAGAGAAATAATTACATCCCCTGCGGTGTTTAATTGGGTGAGAGTGTCTTCAACTCAATCTATATATGTGTAACACCTAAATATAATTGTGAATGCTTTCTTGTAAAATATTCAGAGTTTGAACTGATCAGTGGTGGCAGCAATTATCATGGAAGAGAGAGACCCAGACAAGCAATTTGGAATTATACTTACTTTTTCTTCCAGAAAAGCCCTTAACATTAGGCTATAAAATTGATGATGATCAGATGCCTCCCACTGTTGTTTATGTAAATTATAGTCTTTATGAAGTATGTCAAAGTAACCTAAATTATAGATTTCTTGGTAAACAATGCCAATTTTATTTTAATTCATTCCTGCACTAAATGTTTCTGTGTTGAGAATTTTTAAAATTTTAATTATTTAGCAACTTTAATATGACTGCCTACAGAAATTACCAGTTTTTGACTTAATTTTCCATTTTACTTATTGCAGCTTGGTTGCATATATCTTTATGCCCTAATATAGCTAGTTTATGTACAAATAGCAGTGTAACTACAGTATCATACAATGACAAGTCAAATTAGCTTGACAAAACAGTAGTAGTAGTAGGAAGGAGTTGGAAGTGATTACATATAAAAACATGGAAGTAGAAGCTTCTAGAGCACTGTGATAGCAGAATACTGTTTTTTTTCCCCTACCTATCTTTTTAGACCTTTTGCTAGTTTAAAAGGTAGTGAAAGGTGAAGTTATCTGTAGACCAATTATTGTTCGAAAGGCACTGCTTTCTTTCTTTCTTTTTTCTATTTTCCCACCTGTTGTTTTCTTTAGCAAGGAAATGACATTTTCCTTTAAGTCTACTTATATTTCCAGCATGGGAATTAAAATACAGCTGGTAGTCTGTAAGAATCATTAAAATTGATACAAAGGAGAGACAAAAAAGCAATATTCCAGAGACCAAATCAATCCAAATAAAATCTCATAAAGCTACTCACTGCATTGTGTCCTATATTTAAAAATTCGGATACTTCAGAGGTGCTACTTGGATTGACCAGTAAGTAAGTGTTATTAAATTAACTTCTATAGAGCACTCACTCACAACATGTCCTATAATAACATCTTTGGTGGTCGGTAAGAAGGAAATATGTGTTAAAACCATATGGTATATGAAGTCCAAGAAGTAATAAAGTGTTGTGACAAGGTTGTGGTTCAGCCTTTAGCTGATATTTAGTGTAAGGCTTCTAACCACATCCCAGTGACAAACATAACTCATTTCACTTGCAATACACTCCAGCTGGTAATCCAGGAGAAGCAACATTTTAGAATTCATAAAAGAGCTGATCATGTTTCACCATATTAATTAGGTCTATACTCAGAGTACAGACTCAGCACTGAGACTTGGGCGTCTTGAATGTAACTTGTGATTGCTTAATTCTTTACTAGTACTAATGGTACTATTATTATTAATAATAATAATTATAATCATCATATCATCATATCATCATCATCTTTGCTTTTAGGAAATGTTTTCTGTCTTCTTCAAGATTTTTAATTAACTCCATAAAGCAGAAGCTGACTCACAGCTCTTTTGGGAAACACTTTGGGGGCAGAAGCCTTTGTGAAGTTAAAAGCTTCCTCTGCAGTTTGTGGCTCTGTCACACCCAAAGCTACAGCCTGCACTGTAACTAAGTCTGTAGGGGACTTTCTGCCTAAAATTTTCATCACGGGACACTAGCAAGCAATAGGGACTTTTTTTTTTTTTCCTAAGAAATGAACAGCGAATCTCCTTGTTTTGCTCTTTTTCCACAACAGAAGATGTCACAGCAAACCTGTGATAGCAAATGAACAAACTTCCTGGATTTTTGAATTTAAAATAGTGAAATCCACAATTATTTTATCTGGGTTTTTTGTTTGGTTTTGTTTTTTGTTTGTTGCTTTTTCAATTCTCCCAGTTGTGTGTAGTATATATAATTTGCGCTATTTCTAGTATGATATATATGATATGGGATATTTGTTAGAGTATATACGTTTGTATTAGGAGTTTATTCCCTACCTTCGCAGGTAAAACTTGGTGTATGCTGAAACTTGATTTACAAGTAAAAGGATGTGGCTTGGTTAGGAGATGGATTATGTCTGGAGAGATATGGGGATGCCCAGGTGCTGATCATTGCGTAAATAACTTGAGATGGATATCATGGAAATTTTCGGGCAGATACATGTGAATGTAGTGTTCCCATAAATTTCATTAAGGGATTTAATAACTCTAGACACTGAATTGTTCTTCTTTATTACTAAAAAAGAAAATTTTATTAACTTATAGACTTTGAATGGAAGAAAAGACTGACTGCTGAAATCTTGGCTTTAGGTGGAATTTTTCTTATAAAAACTGCTTGTGCTAGGACAGAGGTGTGCAGGCATAGCGGAAAACCATTGCTGAGGTTGACTTTTTTGTTGCACACTTAGCGTTGACCGTGGGTTTAGCACTGTTCTTTCCTTGTGGCTGGCTAGATAGAATTTGATTGCAAAATTAATATTTTATTTTTTTATTTTAATTTGTCTGGACAAATTTCCATTGATAACATCCCCAAACGCTGACCGGGACGAGTGAGGAGGGCGGGGCTCCTGCTGAGGCCCCTGCCCGGAGCCCTGTGGGCGCAGTTCTATTTCCCACGTTTTGGGGCGAGACAGGGAATCCCTCACAGCACCGTCTGTGTCGATACCGCTCCAATTCGATAGCGAGAAGCTAGAAAAACCAAATTTTATCGGGGGGCGTGTGAGGACCAAGCTGTGCCGCCCCGAAGCCCCGCGGTGGAAGAGGCGCGGGCCGCGCCGCCCTCAGGGCCGCCTCAGCGGGCGGGACATGGCGGGGGCGCGCCCGCGGGGCTCGGCCTGAGGGGAGCAGCTCTGCCCCAGCCCCGGGCCTCCACGGAGCCGTCCTGCCCTGCTGCCCCATGGCCTCGTCTGTGTTCTGCAACTCCTGCCTGTGCGAGCCCCGCAACCCCACGCCGCGGTTCTGCCTCACCAACTGCGGCCACGTTTTCTGTGAGGTTTGCCTGCAGAAAGGTAATGGCTGCTGGGGCGCGCCCGGCGGGGCCGCTGTGCTGGATGCGCACACCCGCCTCAAACATTGGTGTTTCTCACCCGCTGTGGAAAAAAATAAATCCCTGAGCACTTCTTCGAATGTTACTGAAAACCTTTCCAGTCCTTGCTGTTAATTCGCTTTAAAGAGTTTAACTCGCCTGTGCCCACCTCCAGGTGGATGTGGCTTTGAGGGCAAACAGAATGGAGCTTTAATAAAACCGCATTCTAGATGCTTATGAGCCATAATTTTGTTTAAAAAAATCCACAAATAGATGGCCTTTGTTCTGGCAAATTTGGGAAAAATAATAGTTCTTCCTTAGTGAAAGAAAAATTGAAAAAAACGTAGGATTTGTTTAGGATAGGTTTTGGAAGTAGTTTTTGTAAGTTTTGAGGCTCAGTGTTGTTCCTGAAGACTGTCAGCAGCATGAGGGAAGATTGGAGGGGATGTTTTGAAGCTCTTGTGTTATGTAGAGCTCCAGAGTCGTATTCTGGGATTCCAGTGGTGTTCTTGGACAAAGGTATGTGGGAAAGACAGAGGAATAATGAAGTTGCTTTTAAAAAGAAAAAAAAAAAATGTAGCAGCCAAATATCAAGGTTTTCCTTTTTCACATCATGCTACATGCCCTGGTTTTTGTAAGGGCACACAGAAGAAATGATCAGTCTGTATTTCAGTACTAAAAACTTTTGACTAGATGTTTTCACAGGGTTGCAGTTGAGGGTAGAGGATCATAAAATGCAGACTCTGCAGCTTGCAGGCTCTTAGAACATCAACAACATCTCTCCTCTCTGCTCTTAATATTGTTTGGCAGAAAAATATGTGAGAGATTATGTATCTTTCTGCTGTGAATTCAGGAGTAATGGCAATCCAAGGTTTAAAATGTATTTAAAGATTTTGATAGAATGTTCAAAAAGGCAGTGGCTAGTACAATTACCAATTCTAAATATTGAAATAATGTGCATTTGCTATGGATATTTTCTAATATGTTTGCAGATAAAGAGTTTAAAAGTCATAATGTTTTAAAAGTGATTTTATTGATCTCTTATTGGAGGAATTCACAAGGCAAAATTACTAATTTCTTCACACTTGGGTTTCATATATTTTGTTGGGACAACCCAACTGTGCCCCAGTCTAAAAAGCCATATATCAGATTGACTGTAAGTCATTAGTGTACTTAAGCATACATTTAATTAAACCAGGCAAGTAGTCCTATTTAAATCAAGGGAACTAAAAGTCACCTGCATTCTGTGACACTAATGATATTCATAAAATCATTTACATTTACATGAATGCTTATTAACAGGAGTAAGACCTGATGACATTTACACACATTTTTCCTGCACAACTCTGTGTAATGGTTATATAATCAAATTCTTTATTCATCTTTATTTATATTTCTTGTGTAACCTGCAGATTTCTTCCACAAGCTCCAGATGTTTAGGCATCACATTCAATTTACAATGTATTCAATATATATTCAGTTTGATCTATATCTTAAATGTGTCATTACCTTACAGGAAAAAAAGATGAATGTTTGGTCTGTAGGAGGGCTTGTCGTACCTTAGTCCTTTCCAAAGAGGTAAATCAAGCTTTAGTTTTGTTGCATTACATTAATCTGTAGTTTGCCTAACAGCTAAACTATTTGAATTAAAAAATGCTTCTTTTTTTGTTTTTGCCAACTGTGCATGCATACTTACTGATATTAGGTTGCTAAACTAAGATACTTAGGCACTAGACAGGTCTGCTTTTTGTTGTAAATATTCCTTTGAATTAAAGCCTATGAGGTTTTGAGGTACTGCTAGACTGTAAATCATTCTAAACTTTACAAGAAATATGGCTGGTTACTGTGTAACATCAGTGGCTACTTTCAAAATGGGGAAAAATGTTTATTGATTTTGGCATTTGTACATCACAGAAAATGAACTGTAATGACTTATTTCATGTAATGGACTGAATTGAAAACCTGCATTATAGTTCAGCAGTGTTTTCAAGTGGATTAGGTTTTTTTTCTGGTTTCTCTTAAGCTTAACTATTTTCCTTGTGGCTGTATGATTAAGAAAGGGTTTGAAATATTGTTGGGAATTTTTGTTATTCACTGGAGAATTAAGAGCTTTTAATTCCCTTTATAGATTAATCATCAGGAATCTTTAATTTTGCATTTCTCCCAGGAGCAATCTTCTCTTTAGCTGATTCCATAAATTTGTGAAAACATTAATATTTTTGTAAACTGATGCCTACCTAAAAGACAATGCTTTGTAAGGATAAAAGAAAAACACTAAAAACATTTTCTAAAACTCAATACAGCTAAACATGAAGGCCTCGTAGGAATCTTGCACATTGAAGAAGACAATGTCACTTAAAAAATTGCAACAAAACAACAAAATGCAATTATAATACAAAGGAAGAATGCACACAGTAATCAAATATGAAAAAAATTAAAAAGCCCTTCATAAAAATTCTAAAGGGCATATTTTAATATGCTTTGAAGATCAATGTATTGTTGCTGCAAATGTTGTTATTAATTTCAGTCAAAGAATAATTTAAGTTGTCGAGGACCTCTGGAGGTCATCTTGTTCAACACCTTACTCAAAACAATGTTAAGTTTTAAGTTCTATCAGTCTTAAATTGCACCATTTCATCAGAACTTGGTAATTTACTTCAAAAGCACAGAAGGAATTTACAAATGCAATGATTGGGATACTAACAAAAATATTAGATGTTTCATTAGAACTGCCACTGCTCTGGAGGGCTGGAAGGAAGCAAATTACCATATTCTTTTAAAAAGACATTAATGATGATTGCTTATCCTTGATTAAGAACAGATAAAATGATTGGAATGATAATTAAAGATGCATATAAAAAAGTCATGGCTCTGTAATTCAGGAACCTGAGTGGAAATGTACCTGATAAGCTTTATGAGCTTGATGCTATGGAGGAATTCCCAATGAGAGGAGGTCCTTTAAATGTGTTAGAACTCCTAATTAAATTGTATGTTGGGGTAATCAACATGTACACATTAAATATTCTCATCTTTACAGTAATGCATTCTTGTCACCTTTATGTCTTCCTTCTGTGTCTCATGATCCCCACTTGTTTTTCTCCAGAGGATGGTTAAGTGTTATGATAAATCAGAATCTGGCTGTTCAGTATTTCAGAATATCATAGCAACATCTGCTACTCCTCCATGCAGCAGATAAAATATAAACAGTGTTACACAAATCTTTATTTGAAAGAGTTTTTATATCAGCATGAAGCTGGTTGGGGTTTATTTTTTTCAAATCTGAGAGGTACTTAAGCCAAGTCATTGCTTTGATAGAACCCTAAGTAGATTGCAAGAGCTTGGTTCCAATGGATGCATTTCATTTAAAGAAGATGAATATATTTTTTAGGAATATCTTAAGTTTTCAAGACGAATATTATTGTCTTGTTTTTATTTTCTTTACTAAAATACCATAGGTAGGTTACCTGTGCTGTCTGTCTGCATTTCTCAATCTGTCAGCTGGAAATTTTTGACTCTTTGGCTGGTATCAATCAAATTCAAAATTGCAAAGGGAGTCTCAAATACAATTAATTACCTTCTGTGAGTTCTGTAAAAATTAGTAGCTGGGGAAAGCAAGGAAAAACAGTTTTCATAAAGCATGCACAGCTCTGATTAGAAGACACAAGTCATAAAATATTTTAAAAATTCAACAACTACTTTAGGGTTCTTTCCTTATTCTAGGATAATATTCTGCTGGCTAATGGGCAGGGAGAGACAAAGGGATCCCAGTCAGCATTGGAAGTATTCTAAAAAGGACTCAGAAACAAAACTGATTGTAGGATGCATCCCATGTAGCTGGGAATGGTGGGAACCATAAAGCCTGGAAAGGGTCTGCCAGAAACGTGGCTTTTGGTGTGAATGCAGTGCCTCTTCCAGGGGCCACAGCATCCTCCTTGAATGTCCTCTGGACACTGGTACTACCTTAATCATAATAAGTATATATGTGGGTAATACATTTAAACAAAATCCCAACACTTTCCAGATGGTTGATAAGGCCATTAAAGAAAACCAGGTTTATTTTCAATTTCTGCATTATCCGTCCCTAATCTATCAAATTTTTAAAATTTATATTCATCAGTCAATTTAATAAATACTTTACAAAAGACTTTATTTAATATGACTTGCTAATAAAAATGATAACCTTGGTATATTTTCATTTCTTCATAGACAAG